CTGAATTGTAAGTCATAATTTGTAAAGATAATACTATGCTAAAAATTTGCTGTAATTTATAAGTAATCCTGTTATTATATATGAGTAACCTTTGCCTACTGTCAGGGCACTATCATTGTATCAACAACTATAAAATAATCATTAATTACCACTGTAGTTGTAAAATTGTAGCTTCAACAGCATTCCGAACGAGACTGAGGACACTGAGTCCAAATGGACCATGTTCAGCATCTCCATTGCCGAAGCCGCCGCACTGAGCTGCGGCCGCAAGGTGGTTGGTGCCTGTTGTGGTGGTAACTCCCGAACCAAATGGTAGACACCAGAGGTGAGGGGAGCCACCAAACTGAAGGAGTCCTAGTAGGGCTGTCTTGGTTGACACGCTTTCTACAATGTTGCATAGAGATCAGGGGCAGTACCCCTGGATTGGCCGACCAGGGTGGTGGTTCCCATCTTTATGAAAGGGGTCGATGAGGTCCACCCCTTGTCAAATTTTAATCTATTTTGTCTACATTTTATTGAAAACAATTTAAATAAAACATTAAACGGTTTCTTCAATTTTAAGCTGCACTTCCAATGGTTTTTGTAATGTAATTTTGACTATAGTAGCAAAAGCTTGACAGCTGAGAGAGTAAATTCAGTCTTCACCTCCAGTTTTTAAAATGACACTGCGCAATGCACATATATTTTTATTACACCTCTAAAAGCCAACAACAACAAAATTCAGATCATGTCAGTAACTGATCATATGTCAAAACTGTCTATTAGAAGATTTTGATGACAATAACTTCTGAAATGTAATAACGTTGAATTGCAGTTCTGTTCATCTGTATTTATGCATTTAAATGAACTGCTTAATGGTTCCTGGAAGTTCTGTCAATTTGTGACAATTAACCAAACATTTTAAACCCCCATTCATGGACCTGTCTTGATCCCTCTCTGCAGACTCTGTTGTTCTTGTGCACAGTATCATGCATTAGCTTATTCCTTCTGTAGTTATAACTTAAACACTATCTTGGAATCATGTGGAAAGCTCTTCCTCTTAGGCTCTTCCACCTTGAAGCCACAGATATGAGAGCTGTGTTCCAAACTGCCCCAATGCATAAGCCTTAAATTTTTGTCAACCAGCTTAAACTCAAGTAAGCATGCAGCTCTTGTTAGTGCCCTATTTTTTTTATTTTGTGAAAGCAGTAGTTTATATGAGCCAGATCCCCACCTGTTAAATTCTATAGTACATAAAAAAAATGCAATATCTATTTAAATCTATTTTTATTGCACTAAATGCCATGTAAGGTATCTTTATGGTCCTTGAAATTAGACACAAAAATCATAAGAAAATAAAATGACCTCACAAATCAAGCATTGCCAATGTGTCCCCGGAGAAACAGTTGTGACATGATGGTAATGAAGATGGTGATGATGAAAATGGAAACATCAGCTGAGGAATGCTCAAGGTAATAAAAAACTTACTTGTGCACAGCAGAGCAGAAAAGGCATTAATGGCTGCCCTAGGAAAAAAACAGAAAAGTGACGTCTGACTCATTTGAATCAACACCAAATTAAAATAAAAAATGAATTGCATTTGTAATTGTCAAAGTAAATCTTTATGTATGAGTGAGCATGAAATTATTTGACTTCTAAAATTAGAAACATCTTGACTCAGGGTGACGCTGAAAAATTGATTCATCTTCATTATTACTTCCAGTCTGGACTACTGTAGTTCATTTTTGTCAGGATGTCCTAAAACTCCCTGAAAAGCCTTCAGTTGATCGAAAATGCTGCAGTGAGAGTACTGACAAGGACTGGAAAGTGAGTATTTTTCTCCTGTATTGGCTTGTCTTAGCTACCTGTTAATTCCAGAACTGAATTTAATATCTTTCTTCTTACATACAAGGTCTTGAATTGTCTTTTCTTAAAGACTTCAGAGTACCATATTGTCCAAATAGAGCACTTTGCTCTCAAACTGCTGGCTTACTGAGTCTGTGGAACCAAGTAGAGTTTGGATCTGGGAAAAGACACTTTCTATTCTTTAAGATTAACGCGAAAACTTTTCTTTTTGATAAAGCATATAGTTAGGGCTGGATTAGTTGACCCTGAATACTGAGTTAGATATACTGGTAACTAAGATAGTAACTATAACTGTGCTAATAACACAGATGTGGTTGTTTTAATATACACATTGAAGGACATTCTAGTCAAAAATGGCTCCATGTGTTACTGGAGGTCAAGGTAATGCCATCTAGAGTAAGAATCGTGTTTGTAAAATGGTACAAGAAAGTCAATTTAATCTGAATTTAGAAACAAGGCATTAGAGTCCATCCAGGTCTGTATGTCTTTAAGACATTCATGCAGTTTACTAATCGGTGTATGTCATCTGGCTTCATGGATTGATAAAGCTAGGTATCATCTGCATAGCAATGAGAATGCACTGTATGTTATGGCTTCTACCAATACTGCCTAATGTATTATGCATGTATAATTTAAACAGAATTGGTCCAAAAACAACCCTATGGTACTCTATAACCGTGCTTAGTGTTTGACTCTCCATTTACACGAACAAATTAGAGTTAATTATATTAGAGAGCTATGATTCAAACCACTGCAGTAACTTTAATGGCTAACACATTTTGTAATCACTGTGTTAACATTTTGTGGTCTGTGGTGTCAAATGCTACACTGAGGTCAAGTAAGTAAGTAAAATGTATTTATACAACACTTTTTGCAGGTAAAAATCACAATATACTTTACAATAAAACCAGAAATAAAATATATCATAAGAATGAACAAAAAAAAAAATCCATAAAACAACAATTTACCTAAAGGTGCTCAGTATGTCTTCAACTGTTTTTTTAAAGGAATCAGTGGAGTTTATACAGAGTAAAGGCAGTGGAAGAAAAATCCACAACCTTGCCCAAAAAGTCATATCCCCATGAATCTTTAAAATGAGTACGTGGGTCCTGCAGGAATCTCCAACCCAGTATTACAGGAAACAGGAAAACATGTAATAGACAGGCCGGTCCACCATGTCCATTTCATGCTTTGCTGCTTTAAAACGGGAAATGGACACGCATGCAGAAGTTGTATTACTGCATGCAGATGCTGCATTACAAGCAGGGGGGAGATAATATCTTTAAAGCCTAAAAATAATTCTCCCTGACAGTGTACTGTACCTGGACTATAACAAAATCTCAGTTTCTCTGACCACCACCCTGCTTGTCACCCAGTGAGCTGGGACAGGCTACTGGTCCCACTGCAACCCTTAACTGGACAGGCGATAAAGAAAATGGCTGGATCGATGGGGGGCAGTTAAATATTCTCATATATGGTTAAATGTGGCTTGTAGCTTAAAGAACTGAGTGGTCAGTAGACAGTGACACAATTTTATAAGTTTGGTTCTTGATGCCGACACATTGTATTTCAAATCAAACACTCAATATATGATTGAAGTTCAGACTTTAATTCAAAGGATTTAATAAAACCATTACTTGAACTATTTATCCAAAGTTCTCACCCATAGGTTTCTCAAGGCAAAAAAATAGGATATTCTTCCATGTCAGTAACCTCATCTCAGTCATGCTTTTCAGTATTGAAGACAGTACTGTAGTCAGAGAGATCCCCAAACAAGCTGCAACTGAAAGCATCTGCAGTTAAAGTCTAGCCGAGCGTCCCAAGGGAGTCCATGAATTCTGAATTTCAGCCAATCATGTGCTGCAAAAATGTTCATCCAGAACAATTCAAGGGTCCAGCGCACCAGATCCAGGGTAGTGTCTCGAGTGAATGTCTGGTGAGCATCTGGTGGCCGGGCCAAAAAAGCAACATGGGTCCGTCCGCCTGTGGGCCCACCACCCGCAGGAGTCGACATAGGGCTTCAGTGTTAGTGGATCGAGAGGTCCTGGCACTCCGATCCCTAGCTTCTAAAACTGGTATTATAAACAGCTAGCTATAATTCATCAACTATTTCTATAAACCACTTGAATTAATGCTGAAAGTCTGCACTTAAATCACACCTTGATTGTTTAATTTAGAGTCCACTGCAGTACTGTAGAAAGCAAAATTACAAAAATTGTGTCAAAAACATTATTGGATTCTGGATGAAAAATTGTTCAAAAACCTATGGCCCTGACTGCATCTATATGGTAAAACTGATCAGTGGGAAATGCAGAAAGCCCTTAGGATACTTACTTAATAGCATGCAGATGCTTGGTTGTGTATTGAGGAATAAGGCGGTAGATGACATCCAGTCCATGGTTTTCTCCTATGAGGTTTGCTGTAGAAACTATCAAGAGAACACAACTGACTTTTAACTCTGTTACTAAGATTATTAACATGTATGTTTAAACACAGCAACAGGTAAAGCTTCTGAAATACTCTCCCCTTAACATTTAAGGTGGAGGCTTTTCTTGTTAATGAAGAATTCAATAATAAAGTACTCTGGATGACAATATGTAAGGTAGGGTTTAGGATAAGGGTAATGTTAGGATTAGAATTTAGAGAAATAGCAGCTATGATTATTTTTAGGGTAAGCCTCCAGGATATGAATTTAACTCCAAGCTGGTGACAAAAACAACTATATTGTGTACCTGATGAACAGAAGACTTGGATCACCCAGAGGCAGGCAGCAGTTCTCCTGGCATGCTGGTCATTGTGTTTCAGCAGATTCAGAGTCAGCAGCACTGCACCTGCCTCTTCTGCTTTCATACCAATACGACGGTCTACATATATATATACATTGCAATGAATACACATGGTGACAGTAAGTATTGTGAAAGTAAGTGATGAACATTTTCAGAATGCAAGGAGTCAAAAAATACCAAAATAACAGCAACCCCAATGAAAAAGTACTTAAAATAGTAGCATTCAAATATTAAAGTTATATGATTTTTTTTCCATCTTTGGAATGTTACCATGAGTGTAATTGTGATTATTACTAGCAGTGATGTAGTAGCAATAATAGCTCTACACAGTTACACCAAGCAGCGATCGCTTGACATGGTGTAACAGTAGCAGATGGCTAAACATATCTGCATTTCTAAATGACATATTAAGGACTCGTAATGACATGTAAATGATGAATTAAGCACTTGCTTATAATACCTAAGTGCTACCTAAATGTATTAGCAGTTTGCTTTGTATTTCCATTATAGACCTTTTGCTTTTTTTTTAATATTGCAACATAGAATTAGAATAGAATTCAACTTTATTGTCATTGCACATGTCACAGGTACAAGGCAACGAAATGCAGTTTGCGTCCATCCAGAAGTGCTTTAGCCATTATATAGATATATTACAAAATACATATTAGCAATAATATAGGTATATAGATATATCACAGAAATGGGTCTGTTATAGGTATGAGGGTACAAAAATGGGTCTATTATGGGTATATTACAATGTACACGGTATGAAGGTATGTTATGAATATGCCTTCATACCCTGTACATTGTAACATACCCATAATAGACCCATAATAGACCCTCAGTATGATTTAAATTGTTGGTCAGACAAATAAGCACAGATATATCTCTGTGAGAAGCTTTCATTATTCACACACAAACATAGCTGTCAGTGAATCAGGAACCACTGTGCTATTTTTGTTGATCATCTCACCTTTCCTAAACAAACTTTAAGAGTTAGAAAGAGTTATCACAATACATGTTGTTTTGTTCATTCCCACCTTTGTGTCCAACTTTAGCTAGCAGGTGCAGGAGTGGTATGAGTATAGTGTAGTTGGGACTGAAAGTGTGGCCATATTTAACCAGTGCAGTCAGCAGAGCCTCACTACCACCTTTCTTGATCATATAGTGGATGCGCCGATCTGTACCTGAACAGAGAGCAGAGGTTAGTGCTTGGCTGAGGGAGAAATTACACAGAAACAAAGCTGAAACTTGGTGTTGGGAACAATGTCACATATCACTGTGGCAGTCCTACTTATAGATGGTTACACCAGCGAGTGCTGTATGTCTCTGTGTTCTCAACTTCAGTTTCCATCTCTCCTCTTTCCAGCATATTAGTAAATTGTAAAGGGACTGAAATATAAATAGTGCCTTTTTTTACTATTTTGAAAAAAATATAAAGGATGCTACAAGCCACATTCAAATGGGCATTCATCAAGTACTTCTATTTATTGCAAAGGACATTATTGCTCCAAATGAAGACTTAAACCTTAGTCATCCTCAGAATACGAGGGGTGTGACAGCCACAGATATCTTCCAAGTGCCCTCACCTTCTAATTCTGAAAAATATTACTTATCTGATAATAAAATCTCTTTTTTTTCTTTTATTTATTTACCCTTTTTGTGATTTTGTTTGTTTTTCCATCTATGTACACAGCTGTAACCAGTTTCCACATTTGATCCTATTATATGTCTATATATAGACATATCATTGCCTTTGTTACCTGCAGAAGTTCAGCCTCTGGCTGCTGGGCTGGGGTCTGAATACACTCAGCTTTGACATCACTTCTTGTTGATTAGCTTCTTAGCAATCTGTCTAAGAGCCACAGTTCTGTTAGCAGTATACTGCAGTTGTTTCTGTCTTGGATGTTGTTTGGATTTCACCATTGCACTTATGTCCTTTCATGCAATACAAATAAAATTAATGTCCATATTGCCACTTCTCAAAAGCTATAAACCACTCCATATTTTTTGTCCTCCCAGCATACATGTGTATGCTGTTTTCTTTCTATCCTTCCTGGTGCATATATCTGAAAAAACAAGTAACGCAAGTAACAACATAATATTAATTATATAATATAATAAATTTAGTACAGTAACGCATTACATAACTGCATTACTAAAAGTAGGAGTACTGTCATCCATTAATTTGGCACATGCTACACCCAGCCCTAGATGCCAACTGAAGCCAAATGAGCTCTGTTTTCTTCCACCTCCCAATTAAAGTGTGTGATCCTAGCTACAGTGGCCGCTGTATGACAAACAACTGTGGCTGATATTTATCTGTATCGACTGTCACTCTGAGTGTGGGTTGCGGCTCCACTATTTACCTCAGCTGTCAATATGTTGGTTGTTTGTGTTTTTTTACTCATCTAAAACTTTGTGAAAAGAGTCTGACACAAGTTGATAAGTTGTTGAAGTTCACTTCTGTCCAATAAAAGCCATATTGAAGTGAGTTATTTAGCTTTTAACCAGCTGTCATTGTTGTTTAGCTGGTATCTTATGTATAAAGTGTCACGTTCCTGGGACCCAGCGTTTTGAGTTTTAGTTTATTTGGATGTTATGTTTAAGTTCTTTAGGGTAGCTCATTTTATTTGTTTATTAGTTTCTCTTTGTGTTTTCTACCCCTGTATTTAAGTTTCCCTCTCCCTGTTTCATGCTGCGTGTTTTATGTTGTCAAGTTTGTATTGTCTTGTCTGCGTCTCATGTTTCCTGTTTTATTTTGAAGGTCTGTGTCCTATGTCAGTGTAGTCAGCTTTGCTTCCTTTGTCTTGTTATGTCAGACTTGTGTCAGCTGTTTTCCCATGTGTTTCCACTTCCCCTAATCACCCTTGTGTGTATTTAGTCTGTGTGTTTCTGTTCATTCTTGGTCAGGTCGTCTGTTGTTCACGTCACGTTTTCCACGCCATGTTTCCAAGTTTCTTGTCTAGGTTTTTCTTGTTGTTTGTTTAGTTGTCCCAGTTTAGATTAATGTTAGTTTTACTTTAGTTTGCTTTGCCCTTTGTTTGTACCTTTTTTACCAGCCTCATTAAACGGCTCACTTTTTGTTAACATTCAAGTTTTGTTTCCTGTTCCTTGGAGTCTGCGTTTTGGGTCATTTTTGTCAATCCACACAGTCTGCTTCTGCCAGACTGTGACATAAAGGTGCATACACATATTAAAATTTGCCTCTCCAGCACAAATGCCTACGAGTTCTCCTCTCCTTTCCCTCTTGGTATACTATATTTGTAGCTGGTCTCTAGCCTCGTACATAAATCGCAATTAGTCGGAACAGTGACGTTCATCCCGGCCATTTTATTCAGGATGATGAGGCAGCACGATGACTTCAATAAACCATTGCCCGCTCCTGTGTATTTTCAACTCTTTACCCCTTGAAAGCCTAGTAGGAATAATGCTCGAAGAACTTTTCTGAATTGAGGGGTTTCTGTCATATTTCAGACCTGCTTATAGGTTTCTGACTATGCAGCTACCCTTGGAAAAACCTGGAAACTTTATTAATGATCATCAAGTCACGTTTTTATTGATATATATATAATGAGGAGTCAAAACTCATCTTAAAGGTACAGGGGAGGTCGTCAGATGTCATCTTTATGGAGGAAAAAAGTGAACGGATGAATTCTAAGTTCAAAAGATTGCATCTGTTTGTTGGAAGACGTAATTACACATGAATTTAAGTACAGTTATGAGTTCTTAGTAACTTAGTTGATTTTTTTAGTATATTTAATTAAAAAAACAGACTGTGCCTTTTAAAGGCTTTGTGTGTTTATTGGCATTTTACATAGCACAACAACTTTTTATGTAAGGATGGAAACCGAATGGTGAGAAGATGATCTTACCAGCTGACAGAAGTTCATCCAAGACACTGAGGATATTTAAGGTGCTCTCCACATCCCCTACATTCTGCAGAGACAACACACACACACAAAGAATATAAGACATTTAAACCCACAAAATAAAAGAATAAAAAAGTTAGAATGCATCTAACCTACTTTTTTTTTATTTAACCAGGAAGATCCCATTGAGATTAAAAACCTCTTTTTGAACGGAGACCTGGCCAAGATAGGCAGCAGCAAATGTCTCACAGTTACAAAAATTACTCAATTAAACACAGGCAGCAACAACAGACATTCAAAAATTAATGAAAAATTAATTAATTAATTAATTAAATAAAGATAAAATTCAATAAAAATCAAATAAAAATTCAAAAATTCAGTTAAAATGACAAACAATCTTATTGAAACAGTTGCATGTTATGGAATTGGTCACAAGGATTCTTAGTTTAGATTTAAAAGCCCTTAATGAAATGAATTCAGTCATTTTCCAGTCGTTCTGCAGCTCGTTATAAGCAAAGGGTGCTAAATGGACAAAAGCTTTTTTGCCAAGTTCAGTTCGGGCAAATGGAACAGAAAGCAACAAGTAACCTTGCGGACGAAGAGAATAACGATCAGCATGTTTCATTGCAAGCAGGGAACACGTATAGAAAGGCAGTAACCCGAGTATTGCCTTATATATAAAACTGTATAAATGAAAGTTCCTCCGACTGGCCAAAGCAGCCCCTCCCACCTGAGAGTATAACTCACTGTGGTGTGTCTGAAATTTACAGTTAATGATGAACCTCAGAGAAGCATGATACACAGTATCTAAATCAGAATGTGGAATCCATATACAATCCAAACAACCCAGCTGCTACTAAGGGTTGTGGTTTTTGCACTTTTTAGTGACTGTCACTACATATTGTTATTCTTGGCTTTGCTTGTTTGTGTTTGTTTTTGTTGAATGATTTTATCACTCAACAAAGCTCATTTTTCTTGCTTGTGTTTATGTGAAAGTGGAATGATTGCAATTTGTTTTGCAAGTTCTCATGTTTTGTGAATCTCTTATAATTGTCTTCATGTCATCAGCTGTCAGGACTGAGGCCTGCAATCCCAAAGCTGAGCACAGTCAGCTGATTATGACCAGATGGAACACGGTGAGTGTAGTAGATGTGTTTCATGGAAATTCTGCATCCTGCATTGACGCGTCCTGGAACACAGTGTGAGCATAGCTTGCTTCAGGACTTTATATGCAGACAGGGCAGAAAGTGGCACTGACCCTGACATGTTACTGTGAAGAAATGTTTCTATAGCCTGTTGAAATCCTGGCTGTGAAATGTCTTCATATTAATTACACTGGCAATATTTTTAGGCCTTTCCATTTTTTCCTACTTCCTGTTAAATTCAGCTCCTTTCATGTAACGGAGCACAAACTGTTCCAGTGGATGACACCATATTAAAAAAAACCTTTTATACACACACTTCTCTTCCCCTTATCCTTATCAGGGTTGCAGGGGAGCTGGAGCCAATCATGGCGGACTCGTGGCCTTATATACATAAAATGTGTCCAATATTTCCAAACTAATGTACATTAGGATATTAGTTTAAATACATGTTTCTTATGTCACATGTACTCCACATGTACATGCAGATGGATTTTCTCAGAGATTCTAATCCCACATTTTCAAAACGACCCCCCTGAGCAGAGGTCTGCTGGTCTTATCAACTACCCAATCTGGCTGATTAAATTCTGCTGTTTCAACAGAAATCTTTTAAGGTGGCCAAACATCTCCCTCGTTAAAATGTGCGTTGTATGAAGAAACCTTCTCCAATGTCCAAATGAGACCTCTGACGAATATCTGATGCCAGATATAAATAACTTAATGTGTTGCATCCAGACAGGCTGTTTAGATGGCCAGCAATCTGCCTGTTCAAATAGAAACTATAGTCTTGTTTCCACAACAGGATCTTTCCCTAGGGACTAGGAACCATTGGAACAACCTTAGCTCATGGTCAAATTTAAGGTAAAAATATTTTGAGGTCTTGTGGGAGGCCATCTCATGTTTAATCCTCCACATTACCCTGTAAAATTCATAATCTTGAGTCTGATCTTGCCTTGCTGCTTCTGCTCATCTATTTTCCTGCAAACTCACTGATCTCATCTGGTATTCCAGTGGAACAGACTGGGCTATACAAGAAAGACTGAAGATTTTTCTTGTGTAGTAGTCGGTAAATACGTAAATTTGTGTTTGTTTACATACCACTCGACTGGAATTTTCTCAAATTGCAGTGGTCTTTAGTTCTAGATATTCGGCGTTAAAAGTAATAAAATAGTACAGGCTTGTGTTGTGCAAAGATTGCTACACAAAGGTAATAACATCTTAAATAGGATAGACAGGTTATGTCAACTTAACCAGTTGAAGCAACTTGCCACTTTTCACTGCAACCACATGTTCCAGTCTGAAGTGGGTGACAGCCTGAAAGCTATTTTTAAAAAAAGGCCATATGTTTGATGGGGAAGCTTTGTTTTTGCACTGTCTTTACTTTTTTGTAACTTAAACCCTGCATATAAAAATGGTGCTTGTGCTGCACTCAACCTTTCTTTCTGGCTGCTGTTACAACCAAATTTCCCCTTGTGGGACAATTAAAGGATTATTCTATTCTAACCATGATGAGGCTTCTGACAGTGCCTTCTTGTTTCAAGTCCTATAGTCCAGAGATATATGGAAACGTGTGACTTTTCAGTTAACACTGAGATACACAATTTTAAATGAGCTTTAACTATTTTTTTTCACCCTCTCAGTGAAAAAAGAGCACTCACAGCAAAGTTGACCCATTACACTGATGTAGAGAACTGAATGAGCCAGTATCTCAGACTGTCTACCCATGAAATATTTCTACCCTTCTGAAGTTTCACATGTTTAGAAGGGAGGAAATTCTGTGACAGTAATTAAATATATCTGTTCCTGAGACTGTGATTCTCATCTGACAGTTTTTAGAAACTGCCCTAACACAAAATTGAATCATGTCTACAGGTTTGATTGTAACAAAAAATATAAATATTCCCAATAATCTGGGAACCTTTATGAGCTCATTTGCAAACAACTTGAAGTCCACAATGCTATTATTATTATTCACAACTGGAAAACATTTAAGACAGCTGACAATTTTCCCAAAGGTGGACATTCCAGCAAATTTTCACCCAAAGGTCAGTGCATGCAATACTAAGAGGACCTGCAAAAAACTTACAGGCCTCAATTAGCAATGATAAATGTTAACATAGGTTTGCAAAGCTGAAACCTGAACAAACCACAAGACTTCTGAAACAATGGGCCTCATTTACTGATAAATGCATGAGAAATTTCTTACAAAAAAAAGAGTTTGCAATTAAAGTCATGTTAGATTTATGCCACAGTTTTTTTCTTACTGCTGTGTGTATATTAATAAATCACAGTCATTTTAAATCCTACATACTGCCTAATCCGCATAAAGCCACCCCTCCCCATTTGTCTATACAAAGAAACAGGTTCATCTGGAGGTGACGATGTAAGAGAGAAGTGCGCGTCTCTAAGGCAAAACAGAACGAGAAAGTCTGAGACAACATTCTTAGTGTTTCCATGAGAGTGATGACTGTTTAAAATTAAGTAAATAACAAAGAAAGGCTTCACCTGATAAAAAAAAAAAAAGGAGAGCTCGATGTCATTTCCCCTAAAAGAAAGAGAACAAGTAAGTGTCCTGTTAGCCTGACATGAGAAACTTACTGCATTTTTTTTTAAAAAGAAAGAAAGATAAGACCATTTAAGTTAAGATGAGTGAGATTAATTAAATATATTTAAATTAAAAGGATAAAGCCTACGTCTTTACTTTTATCCTTGTTTTCCTTACATGCCTTGTTTTTTTTTTGTGTGTAATTCTGTACATTTTGTGGCCTATGATGTTTTAGAAAACTGCTCACTTCGGTCAGCCCGGTTGTTGTTTTTAAAAGTGCTTTGTAAATTAAGTGCTATGGTACTGTTAATATTACTATTATTAGTACTAGTAATAGTAGTATTCATTTTAAAGACCTTTGAAGGTTTACTTTACTTTCCCAGCACAGTTAGGTCTTCATTTGGTTGTAAGTGTGGTGAAATGGACTTCTAAATTTATTTGTAAAGTAAAATGAAATTGAGGTATGAAGGCCAATGCCTTTGGACAAACCAAACTGGAGATGCTTGGTGTTCATGGACAACACCACGTTTGGAGAAAACCAAATATGGTATATCAGCACAAACACCTCATACCAGCTGTCAGCACGGTGGTGGAGGGGGGACGATTTAAGCTTGATTTACAGCCACAGGACCCAAGAACGGAGCAGTCACCGAGTCTAACATGAACTCCTCTGTGTACCAAAATATTCTAGAGTCAAAGGAGAGGCCATCGGTCAGACAGCTAAACTTTGTCTGAAACTGGCTGAAATGCTGTGTTGAGACCTTCAGAGAGCTGCATATAAATGACTGCTCGCAAGCCTGAATGAGCAAAGCAACACTGTAAAGAAGAATGGAACAAAATTCCTCCTCAGTGATCACAGAGACTGATAAAGTCCTACAGAAAATGATAGCTTCTGGTTAATGCTGCTGAAGGTTGTTCTACAAGCTTTTGAATCATGAAGTGCGCTTCATTTTTCACAGTTGTTAAATAAATGATGTAATGATTGTCTGTCTTTGTGTCCTTTAGCAGTAACAAAAAATAGATAAGAGCTGCATAAATATGCTCAATGCAAAGCCAATATATTTCTTTCCTCATTTGTTTTGTGCTAATAGGGGAGTGCTAAAAGAAACCTTCTCTGTAGAGGAGATATCCTATATGACCACCTTTCGTGGCTTTTGAGGTTCCCTCAGAGGATCACTTAGTAAAGATCAGTCACTAAAAACTGTACTTTGAATTGTATTATTAAGTCCGATTCAGCAACTCAGGGTTCATCTGCAGTTAGAATGGTTTCTGGCAGTCCATCCACACTCAGGAAATCTGTTTGTTCTCAGATGCTGGGATTAGGTTTAGACTGACTGAACTGTAAATTCAGGACTGTGGGTATGAAAGAACTGAAAAAAGATGGATTAGCCCAGGCTCAGTAGTCAGAATGTGTTGTCATTAAAAATGTGAGGTTAGTCTGCCACTTTTTAAAGAATGGTGTTGAGCCAGTAATGCCACCTGCTGTTTCAATCTCTCCACCCCTATACCCCCCAGTATCCAACTGTAGCACCCCAGGGATGTTTTGTATCATATGTACCATCGCGGTCCCTTTCACCAATACCTTAACAAGCACGTAGATAGATAGATAGATAGATAGATAGATAGATAGATAGATAGATAGGTTTTCATCACTGCTCCATATGAGTGTGTTGCAGTTACATGTCTTTTATTTAAAGATCCTAGTTTAATGCTGATGCAGGACCCAGGTTTATGTCCAATATTATTGACTTTTTTTTATGTCATTCAACTTTTTAAGGATCCAGTGTCAACCACAAACCAAATAATGTGAACATGATACAGTATATGAATGCGGATCGAGCTTGATGTATATTTGATACATGTTTGATGCAGCAATTACCCAGTGCAAGCCTGCAAAATATACCACATGAAAAGTACAAAAACCATATCTTGTTAATATTCCAAACACGCAAACCTCGGATATTCCTCTCAGTAAATCAGCTGAGGCAAAGCAAAACATATTTTAGTTTTTATTTTATTTTTCTCCTTTTTTTTATATCGCTAGCAGACTATTAGGGGCTCAGCATACATTAAAACTAATATGGAAGTTAAGTAATTGTTTTGATTTGTTATTTCAGTGTTTTATACGAACACGTCACATACAGGAGCACATACCTGCAGAGTGGAAAGGAGGACCTCTAAGCCGCTGGAGGAGCTTAAGGTGGCCGTCATACTTGGTCGACCTCGTCCTGTTCCAGTCAACAGATGGACGAATCAAAAGAGTGAAGGAAAGGTGAACAAACTTTTACACAGACAAACGACAAAATGAAACGGGATCATCAGTGAGGACTTGGACAGCCGAAGTGTCTCCTCAGCAACATGCAAGCAGTACTTCAAACAAACACACACAGACACACTTATAGCATCAGTGTGCTTTTCTCTCTGCACAGGCTGTAACGATACTGTGTCTAAACACAGCGGAGTGACACTCACAGGGCCAGGGAGGGGGCACGCGTGCTGGTGTGTGTGCCATTGGACATGTGTATTAGTAAAGTTGATGTCTTCCTGAGAGTGCGTGTCATTTCTGCTCAGTCTGTTTTACATGATCATAAAACACATGCAAAAAACATAACAATAAACACATTCCTCCTACCATAAAATACAAGAAAAATATTTTATAGAAAAGTGATTATATGTGTGCGTTATTGTGTTTAAGTGCGCACACGTGACTTTGCATGTGTAATCTTACCCCTCTAGGATAAAGAGTTCCAGAAAACATTTGTGCTGTGGTGCTGAGAAGACTGCCACTATAAAAAGGCTTTGACAAGACCAGCGGGGCAGCTGCAGGGCACAGACTATATTCAGTACCACCGTACTCTAACTCAGAAAAAACACTACAGTGTATTCAATGCTGCTTATCTGACTCGGTCTTACTAACTCCCAGGATGAAAGTACTCATCTGTTGATCCATATAATAATTTATTCACCTTTAAATTTATTCTACTTACAAAAAAGTGATGCTAAACACACAATTAAATCAGAAAGGTAGCCAGTAAGGGAGACCCGCAGATACAGAGCACTTTAAGCACAATTTGGTTTTTGACAGTTTTTCTGAAAAATAAAATTCTAGTAAAGACAATTTGGAAATTAATTTACAGCTTTTAAAGGATGGTGGGTTGTCACCATTGTAACATTCAAATAACCATTTGAATGTTTTCTAGGCAACCACATCAGTTTCCAGGAGGAGCAGGCTGCAGTACCATTGGTGCAGCACTACATTTGAAGATACCAAGAACTGTGGAGAAAGAGCCGCTGACCAGAAAAAACATCTGACTGACTAATTAGGTAGCACAGCCCATAACTGCTTCACAGGTCAGAGTTGTTGTGTCCCACCCAAAACCCACACCTGTGCTTTCATTGGTTTCATTCTGTTGTCCTCGTCTACCCTGAAGGAATCTATATATTATGTATTACTCTGTTTCAGTCACTACTTTCTTATCTTGTTAGTGTGTGTCTGCGTGTGTGCAAACATATGTGCATTATGACTTCATGAGAAGAGTCAACATGCTTTAAAGTTCATATGGGCTGGAGAGCTGGCTTTGAGCTGGCTGGTTGAAAGTTGGGATTAAGGATGAACATTCTCAACCACTGTGACCTTCAGCTTGTGTCATTCTGTCTCTCTGTTACTGTCTCTCGCTCGTTTGCTCTCTCACTCTCTCTCTATCTATCTATCTATTTATTTCACAAACACAGGCACAAGCGCACACACATAGGTAATAAAAGAAAATCACATCAACAACTGAAAAATGCCATAACATTCCCATCAGGAACTCCTAATCCACAGGTGAAATCAAAGACATACTGCTCTCCCAGACAGGATTCCCCGGGCTTGACACAGCCATATGTTGCACACCCACGCACATTTCCATTTCCACAATAATGAGGGGAGAACCCTGAGTGTAGCTCCAGCTGTCTAGTTTCACTGATGCCTTCAGACAGCAGGCTGGTACACTGATATGCACCTCTTGGCTTTCCATGTATAACTCATTTGAGCAGAGCAGCACACATAGACGCTGCTCACAACTCACTACTGCTGTTGTAAAACCAGTGGTGTTTTTTTTTTTTTTCATTTTCTCTCAGTAAGCCTGTTTCATGGTATTTAGAAACATTACATTTAATTTTTTATTTACTAATTTAGTTTTCAATTAAAACTTATAGAAAAACATGTGTTTACTGCTGCAAGATAATAGACTGTAATGGCTAGGTAAAACTTGTTCAGCAAAACGTAACAAAACACTCATGAGTATGTAGTCTATTTTATTTTCTCATTATAATCAGTGTATAAATTACTGATAACACACAGGTCAGAAACAAGAAACACTATTTGCCCACTTAATAAAATGTCATAGTAAAATTACATATTTCCAATTGAATAAAATCACTATTAAATGACAGGTGCCAAACTGATTCATTTATATAATTATTAGGGGTGGGATTTTAATACGTTAATTGTGATTAATTCATTTGAAAAAAAAAATGCATTAAAAAAATCAACACATTTAATCGCACTTTGCATTCCAAGCAATGGGGAACTTTTGTCAATGCATGATTTTTTTGGTATACCGATTACACTGATGCACACGGCTTCAAAAATGGAAGAATCAGAAGAAAGCGCTAGGACTGATCCGTATGGCAAGCCATTAGAGTCAAAAATCGCCACTTTTCTAACCCGTTTGGTTAAGAAATGGCGTAAAAAACGCTGTTTAATTATTCAAAACGCCGAAAAAACCCGCAGTTTGTCCCGACAGAACACCATTTTTTACGCCACAGACTGGCGCCTTGAACACCCCATCTGAGTGGCGGAAAAAACACAGTTTTTTTTCAGCGTTTTGAATAATTAAACAGCGTTTTAATGGCTTGCATTGATCAGAGGCGAATTTGATTGCAAAAGACTGCTCGACGGAAGCCTTGATAAAAGCGTGATTTTGTGCAAACTGTGCAAAATGGAGTTTGCATACCACCAAAGCACTTCAACCTTACAGTACCAACGCAAAACATGTTGCAGCAACACAGAAACTGTGGGTGCTGTTAGCAGTTCAAGTACCAACAAAAGGTGTCGGCAGCCCAAACTTGATGAAATGACTGGGTTCAGGACCAAAATTAGTAAGGCTTTATTGATTTTATTAAACATCTGCATGAAGTCAGGGAAGGGATTCAGGCTCTGGAGCTAGCTGAACGCATCCACTCCCAGGTTCCCATGCCCCAGCAGCAGCTGCCAGAGCTTTCCAAACCTGCTGGCCTCGTGTCACTTCAGCCAGAGGTCTCCAAACCTGCTGGCCGTGCCTCGTCTTTGCCAGAGGTTTCCACGCCTGCTCGTTCTGTCTTGTCTCCGCCAAAGGTCTCCTCGCCTGCTGGTTTTGCTTCGTCTCTGCCAGAGGTCTCCGCACCGCCATGTGTTTTCTCTTTTTTGGATTTATGGACGTTTGGTTTCTGCTCGTTGGACATTTGGTTCTCAACTTCACATGAATAAAGGTTAGTTTGTTCATTAAGTTTGGCTTCAGTTCTGCATTTTGGGTCCAAACATGCCAGGTTGAGACATCAGTGAACTGATATACTTGTGATGTATCATTTTGTTCCCTCCATTTGTTAAGTTATGCCTATGATCTTCCACATTATCACCATCCCTTCAGTAGCAAAATGTACCACAATGACACAAAGACAAAAACAAGCGTTGTGGTGAGTTATACTGTAAAGATATCGTTACTCCAATCAAAAGACCAAGAAGCCCTGAATACCTGTGTGCTCTGCCAGACACAAGCTGTCTCCACCAGTTTCCAGGCCCCCACTGAGGCCAGCCAGCATGGGCATTCAGAAAGAGGGGCCTACAGCACAGAGGGACAGCGAACAGACCCAAAGGAAAATAAAGACACCAGCCAGCACAACCACATTGGTGAGGCACAGGACAACCAGTCCCACCAATATGTCTGCCAACTGGTCCAGTCAAATTGGTGAGGCGAAAGCAAGCAACTGGAGGGAGGTGGGACAGTGGAGGGGATGGAACAATGCCTGCCAGACATATAAACGCAAATTGCATCAAGGTCACCTCATGTCTGGCAGAAGCAATCATGATCAGCCCAATCCATCCCCTCCTCAACCCCCAAAAGGGCCAGATCCCACCATGACACACAGGTGTGAGTCGCACAGCACCTAGGTCACCTGACACACCACACAAGCCCCATCCCCAATTAGCATCCCAGGCTAGGGAAAGCATCCCCAGCCCCTAAGAGGGGCAGAAGCTGGGGGGGAAGGGGGACCCACACCACACCACACCACTGACTTCATAAATGACTTTATAATATAAAAGTCAGCAAAGATGCACAGAAAAGAAGATCAGACACCAGCGAGGGAGGATAAGAAGGACAGACGCAACAACATTGTCATCCCCTATGTAGCCGGTGTATCAGAGAAACTCAGGAGGGTTTTCTCCAAGCACGAGATCCCAGTGCATTTCAGACATCTGTGAAGGTTCTCAGTCATCCAGGTCATCGTAATCTAAGGAGCTTGGAAAGAAAAGCGTCTGGACTTCTTGCTTGAAGACGTTTCACCTCTCATCCGAGAAGCTTCTTCAGTTCTAAGGTCAAATGGTGGAGAGTCCCAGATTTAAACCCAAAAAGAGGCCATTTATGTCCACTGTGAGCGACCATCTTTGAACAGAGGCGGTGGCTTACGACACCAACTGTCTGCCATCTATAATCCAGTTTTGAGATCCCTTCCCAGACGCCTTAACCCCCACTCACATCCTGGGCCATCTGACCCCAGGAAATCACATGATAGGGTGGGGCCAGGTTTCACAATGAACTCACGCAAAACTTTGGCTGATTGTGACCCACACCCGTTTTCACACCTTGACTCATGTGATTAGGCGATTAGAGGATCATCAGGGGGTCATTTTGTCCCTCTTTTGGGGGGATACTCCCACTGGGTTTAAATCTCGGACTCTCCACTATTTGACCCTAAAACTGAAGAAGCTTCTCGGATGAGAGGTGAAACGTCTTCAGGCAACTTAAAGAAGTCCAGACGCTTTTCTTCTAAAAGTAAACTCAGACCCCGCTGACTCAGAGTTTTACTCCCGTGAAGGAAAAAACAAGGCAACAGCGATCGATCGATTTACTTGCGCAAGGGAGGCCTCGGTCGCTATCTCAGGAACACACATCGAATCCTATCACAAATGACCCCAACTCCAGCCTCCGCTTGCTGCCTTTTATTGAAAAAACTGTTACAATAAGCAATAGTTTACAATAGTTTACACAAGCACCTCCCCTTGTAAAAACCCCCTTGGTTACAAAGACAAGGCACTGTGTGCGTGTGTGTGTGTGTGTGTGTG